ATTAACGACTATCTTGGAAATTTCCGCATAAAATATCGTTGATCCCTCGTAGAGAGTTGGTTCTGCCTACAGTCTGCTCATTGGTAATCAGCACGCCACATTGTGATTTCTACAGGTACTAGCCATATATGAATATTTGCTTTCCTATCAAGATACCTTCTTTACCGGCATTTCTCCGTTCCTTTTGTTTTTCTATCGAACGTACCTTCAAGGCCACTCATCCAAGTTTCTTTTTAAAAGTTAGGTGTTCTGCGTCATTTTACTTTCCTGAGGAGATTGTGGTGTGGGTGTCGTTTCATTAATTTCCAGATTATGGGATATTAGACGCCCAAACAACAATTTATGGACCAGTACCCTTTTATTTTGTACCTTACGTTTATTTGTTTTGGTTTGGGTGCTACCCGGTCCATTTTCTAATGGGTGTTTTACCTTCAGCGGTATGTTCTCTTTTGTATATCATCGGACTCACGTTCATTAATGCTTGTACTGAAGAAGTTTGTTTAACATCTGCTTCCTTTTAGTGGAAAGGCATTCACACTCATCCAGCTTTGTTTTGTAGCAAGCCATTCCTTTCCCTTGACAAAATACCCAGAGGTGAACCGGTAAAACATCATTTTAATTGGGTATTTTATAGATATTAATACAGGGTGTTTCAGTTTATTGTTGCATAACTTTAAGATTCGATAGAACTTTTAAAATTAATGCATAAAGTCTATATAAACATGGGTCGAAAAATGCGTGGCTTCCGAAATACAGGGTGTTTAAGTTTACTTTCTAAAATAGTTTTTTTTAAATATTTCGAACAATATTTGATGTATAACAGTGAAAATTGGTATACAAGGGTTTTTTGGTACGACAAAACGAACCATGGGCATAGTTTTACTGTAGCCGCTAGAGGGCGCTCTCTACTGTACCTGTAGTGTATTAAAATGACCGAAAATTTTTTCTTAGTGCAATTTTTTGCTTTTTGAATAAAAAACTGATTCTTCGCACTTTTCAACATAAAAAAGCTCTCTTGTGAATTTTCGTTATAGTTAGCTGTTTTTGAGATATTTCGATTTTTAAGGTTCGATGCATTTTTAATTATTTATGATAAAATAACGTTAAAAAGTCAGTATCTCGATAATTTTTGGAAGTAGGCTGTGCCTGCAAATATTTTTGAAATTGAAAGCAGAATAAGGTTAAACGTCAATTAGTTGACAGTTAGTTTTGTTGTCTGTTGAAAGTTCGGGAAAGAAATTTTTAGCAAGAATTTAGTGTGAACGTGTGGATTGGTATCTACCGTAATCGACTATTTGGACCCTTTTGCCTGCAAGGTTAAATGCTGCGACCTTCTTGGAATTTTTAAAGGCTGAACATGCAAATATGTGGGATGATGTTATGTTAGATTTAAGAAGATTGGCCTGGTTCCAGCTTGATGGTTGTCCAGCTCATTATTCGAGAATAGTTAGAAACTGGCTGGACGAAAATTATCCAGAAAGATGGATCGGCCGTGGAGGACCAGTCACCTGGCCTCCACGATCCCCTGACCTAAATCTATTGGATTTCTTTGTGTGGGGATTTCTAAAAGAAAAAGTGTACCAGACTCGCGTAACCACAAGAGATATGCTAATAGACAGAATCAGGAATGCATGTGATGAAATAAGGCCTTATTTGAATAATGCTATACCACGTTCGATCATTCGTAGATGTGAATTGTGTATTGAACAATAGGGTTTACATTTCGAGCAAGTACTTTAGATTTTGTATGTTTGTCCTAACTGTCCCATAGCATTTAAGTTGTAAATAATTAATTTAATTTGTTAAAAATAATATTGGAAAATTAAACAAATTAATATTCTGTTTTTTGTGTTTATTTGGAGTTAGGAATTATTGCTGTGTTTAAAAACACAATCTAAACGATCATCTTAATTACTTGTAATGCCCAAATCGAAAATGTAAAAAAAAAATATTATTTTCCCATAAATATCTTGAGGTTATGCAACAATAAACTGAAACACCCTGTATACTAATTATTTACTGACCCTGATTTCATTTGTAGTGTTTTATTAATTCGTTAATTAATTAAAAAAATAAAGAGGAATCACACCACCACTTCCTCTTGATTATAAAAAAAGGCGTGGCAGGTTTATTTGGGCTTCCCTTGTCTAGAAAAAAATTGAGTTACGCGTGTCTCTCTTTTACACAATGAAAGTTCGAAATAACCATTTTGAAATACCCACCCTGTCTACGCACTTCAAACAACAATATACTTACAATGACCGCCATATATTTAATGAGCATCACAGTCATCAGAACTTTATGTTGTTTTTTAAGATATTCGTGTTGTTTGTTTTATAAATAAATGCCTCAATTCAGAGTTTACCCTACAGGGTGCGAAGAGATATATAGGCCCTTAACATACAGGGTGGTTCGACAAATAGGTCGCACCCCTTTTGTGACTTTCCCCGTATATTTTGTACAATACGGTGTGATCCAAAAATGAGATTTTTAAATATAAACCTCCATTTTTTCAATTTTTACATTTTCCAAGAATTTTTTAGTAACTTTCGTATAATAAAGTTTATACAGATTTTCAGTTGTAAAAAATCTAAAGTGTGTAATATCTGATTTTTCTATCACCCTGTATTGTACGATTATAGATGAAAAAACGTCCCCCTAGAAATCAAGATTGACGTGTCCGAGCGTTTTTCCCAAAATATACCAGGTTGACTCGCAAATAGGGGTGCTACCTTTTTGTTGGTCCACCCTGTATAATTTTTCGCAAAACGTATTTAACGTTTTGGTTTTTGTTTAAACTTCTTATTCCTTCGTTCCATCGGTTCGGCCAAAGGCAAATCGATTTTTACCGGTGCAAAGTACTTCTCGACGGCTGTTCAATACATAAATTGGATTCATACTTTTATATAATACGTTAACAATCACTTCGCAAATCACAAGAAACGGTAGATGCAAAAATAATTTTGCTACAATGACGTTTCGAAAGTTGCGCTAGCTACTATGCGGTTTTTTGTTTTTGTATGATTCCTTTAGAAATTACGTGTCAGCAGCGGTGAAAGAAATTTCACTGCGGGATCCGAATGAATAACTGGCACGTTTTTAACGAACGCGAATTAAATGGGTATTGTTAAAAGTAATGTCGCATTGTTTTTCCTGCGATTTTTTAATTGAAACTGCTCTTGCATGCGTTTAACGTTGCACAAGCACTAATACGTATTACAGTGACAAAGCTGCGATAAAGTAAAAGCCTTGCGAATTCTCTTAGCAAGGGCTTATTTTTTCATAGTGGAAGTTCTTCATTGGATACAACAGATGTTTGAACGGCAAGCCTAATTGCCAGGACACCTCGGCTACTATGAGGATCCCAAAGAAACTTTAAGGAGCAAAGCCCGTTGCTGTAGCGGCCAACGGCCTGCCGGTGTGAAAGGGTCCCAAGATTGTCTGTTAGAGAAGTGTCATCGATCAGTCGGACAGCCCTTTTCGAGCATAAATAATGTAGCCGGAGCGGCAGCACCCCAAAAGTGTGAGCAATATTCTTGGCTAGACCTTGTCTGAGCCTTGTATAGAGTGAGAAGGTCATGCGGAGAAAAGTACTTCTTAGCCCTAAACAAATAGCCTAGCTGTTTCCCAGCAGCTGCCGCTATTGAGTCCAGATCGAATCCTCGGTGATCTGGACTCCGACCAGCCGAAATGAGCGGCTCTTTGGCAGAACTCGACCATTCATCGAAACCGAATGAGCGCTAGGACGCTTTTTGTTCATCCAGGTACAGTACTGTGTTTTGGAAGCATTAAACTGCACAAGACTGTTGCATCCCCAAGCAGTGATAACCTCCAGTTCTCCCGTCAGAGAGGAGGTCGCTGCCAGTCTACTTTTTTCCATTTCACCGGCAGAGACCGGCTTGTCGCTCTGAATTCCTGTATGTAGAGTGCTGTCACGAGCAAAACTGTGTATTGGATTGATCGTACATGAAAGATCGTCGTTGACATGTAACAGGAACAGTATCGGAGCAAGACCGATCCCCCGGGGAAACACCCGCGTTGAAGTTGTGGGACGAACTCACTAATTTTTTAACCATGAATCATACAAGGTGTCCGCAAAGTTGGGGTTTTCCTTCACGCGACGTGTTCAGCTTGACGGATTTTCTTAGTACCATATACATCAATCAAACCTGAACCAAACCGAAGCCGGTCCTATCCCTGGATCGCGTCCACAGCGCCAGCTTACTGTTATACGACATACGACTACGATGTAAATTCGCTGGTATGCAACCTAACCTAGACGCGGGTAGTGTAGGTCAACAAACCATTACATTGGTAACCGATAGATTCAAAAAATAAAGGAAATGCCACGTTCATACACCAATAGCGTACTAGTCGACATGCTGTTTATTTACGGTGAGTGTGTTCAAAATGCGACCGAGGCTTCGCGAGTGTATACAGATCGTTTTCCCAGATGGCATCATCCAAGGCCCCATAGATTTGTTTACCTTGTGCAGAGACACTGGGATACGGGTTGTTTGGAGGGATGTCGAGGTAGGCACAGTGGGAGACCTAGACAACCCCGAATGCTGCAAACTGAGGGAGAAGTACTGAATCTCGTAGGCGAGAATTCTTCGACAAGCACTAGGGACGTGGCTAGACAAGACTAAAGTGTGGCAAACGCTGCATGATGAGTGATTATTGTACCTGTTTCACGTGCAACGTGTACTACAAGCCCTCCAAGCTGAGGATTTTCCTGCAAGAGTGCGGTTTTGCGAGTGGTTTTTGCACCGACATGACAATAATCCGGACTTTTTGTACTGCATATTAATCACAGACGAACACACGTTCACGCGTAACGGGGTGAATAACTTCCGCAATACTCGTGTGTGGTCAGTACGAAATCCTCGCGCTGTCCGTCGGTCACACTTTCTGTGAATGTTTGGGCTGGCATGGTACGAGGGATGTCTTTAAGTTTTGCATATAGAAACATAGTAGGCCGCGCGGATCGAACGTCAGACGTGAAATTATTGGACCATCCTCCACATAGCCCCGATCTAAGTCCTAACGATTTCTTTACTTTCCCGAAAATTAAAAACAGACTGCGTGGTCAAAGGTTCCAGTCAGCAGAAGAAGCAGTTGACGCATTCAAAAATGCCGTTTTGGATATGCCAGCAAACCAGTGGAATAAGTGCTTTGAAAATTGGTTCGAGCGCATGCAGATGTGTATTAATCTTCGTGGAGAATACTTCGAAAAACAATAAAGTCATTTAAAACTACCTGCCGTGTTGTTTTATTTCCATATGCAAAACTTAATAGACATCCCTCGTAATTGGCATGCTCATTGGACCATTTATTATCCCGAATTACATTTTACCAACCCTGCTAGAAGATGTGCCCCGTTTTAGACGCGAAGTGCGTGAGTTCTTAAATGAATCATTTCCGAATAGGTGGATCTGACGGAATGGACCCGTAGCATGGCCTCCGCGATCTCCAGACTTAACACCCTGTGATTTATTCTGGGAAGGAACTCCACTTTAAAAGCCTGCATCGAGCACGCTTTTTTTTCAATCCAACGACGACAACTTCGATCAGCACTACGTTCACCAAGAAAAAGTGACACCGAAGTCATATTTTCGATGTCTTTTTTGTTATTTTTGTTACATGTGCTCGGTTTTTACGACAGAGCCGTACTTGGAACTTCAATTCAACTGAACAGTGAGGACTTTCTCTTTAATTTTTTTACGTTTCACCACACATTAGCTTTGTTAGATATATCAAGCGTATTTGTGTCTTGTGTGCCGAACTTTGCGGTCACCCTGTATATGTGCACGTTTTTATAATATTCACCGGTTCGTAGCTGGTGGATGTGCTCTATAATACATGAAATCATGGCTAAAGTAAAGCTTCGGAACCAGCGCTTACTAATATGCCCTCATTAGTTATTGCGAAATTATCGAAGCACAGCAGAAGGCGTACGCTATTATTATTATTAATTCGCCTTGTACTAATTTGTATGCTCTTACGTACTGATGCGTTAAGTTTGCTGCAGGTGAACTTACTCGCTTGTTCTGTGCCCCGATGCATAGCTGCTTTGAGAAGTTGAAATTTGATTTATTAGTAGTATGCCCTTTTTCGAGTATGCCAGCGATAGACCAGGACAATAACGTTTTCGGAAGGTGCAATAATAATAATTTTATCCATGTATTGTACAAACATAACTGAGGTATACGAGGTTTGTTCGAAAATTACCGCAAATTCTGAATTTTCGTGGGCTAGGTATGTTCGATTTTCGATCTTTTTGTGGCGTTATGTTGGTACTCATCACCCTTACTAATTTTGACAATATCCGCCGTTTTGAATGTTCAGTCAGTTTTTGACAACTACAGTGAAAGCTCCAATAAGCGGACACTCACGGTTCCGTAACTTTTGTCCGCTTATGGGAGGTGTCCGTTTAAAAGAGAGTATGTAAGTATAGAGTATAAATAACGGGGTATATAATCATGAGGAAATGAGGTATTATAATCATGAGAAAAATGAAACAGAAACTCGCCACATTTTTAAAGTATGTATTTATGCTATATATCTATATAATATATGTACATATACGCATACAAAAACATAAATGCTTCAATACATGGTACGAGAATTTGAAAAAAACATTATTCTTTAGCTTGTTGAAAAAAGTTTAAAATGTTTGTCTGACGAAATTTCACCATCTTTTGCTGAAGGAGACAATTTTCGTAATAACTTTCTAAATTTTTCAAATGTTGAAATGCAGTGAAATCATCTTTAGCAAATTTTTTCAATATAGAAATATGACTTAGAGCTTCCCCATATGAATTTATCGTTTTTGAACCGCTTAGTGAGTCCACCAGTTCCACTTCTTCTTCTGAGTCGTTTGGACTACCATATTCAAGTTGGCCTGGGCTTTCTACATCCAAATTCGAAAAGTTGCCAATGGCATTTTCTTCTGTTGTTATGTTATTGTCTATGGCCAGGAAATCATCTACTTTCTGGGGATCTGCTACTCCTAAATGTTTGGCATGTCGCAGTAACTGAGCAAGTGTCGCTAAGGGCAGATCGTCTTCAGCATCGCAATAATTTTGCTCAGCAAATTCTGAGCTACATTCACTTTTTCTGAATCCAGCTTTGCCAAAACAGTTTTTAATTGTAGAGGAATTTACTTTATTCCATGCTGTTTTTATAAAATACAAAGCTTCTAACACATTGATAGACTTTGTAAGCTCAGATAAGCTTTGACCATCGTCAATTTTTGTTAAAATATGTTTTAAAATCAAGTGCCGATAATAAAATTTAAAGTTCTGTATGACACCTTGATCCATGGGCTGACAAACAGAAGTTGTGTTTGGCGGTAAAAATATAATTTTCACATTTTTCATTTTCATATCACGAGGATGAGAGCATGCATTGTCTAAAAATAAAAGAACTTGCCTTTTTTGGATTCTCATTTTCCGGTCGAATTCGACTAACCACTCAGACATGATTTCTCGGGTCATCCATGCCTTTTTCTTGGATTTCCAAGTCGCTGGTAGATCCTTAATAGCAACGTTTTTTAAAGCACGGGGACGAGCCGCTTTCCCGATCACAATCAAATCGCATTTTTCACCGGCCATATTTGCACAGAATAAAATGGTTAGTCTATCTTTAGACAACTTTCCACCCACACATGTTTCTCCTTTAAAGGACAGAGTTTTGTCGGGCAATGCGCGAAAAAAAAGTCCACTCTCATCTGCGTTGTACACATCTTCTGGTTTGTAGCCAAGCAACATGGACGGAAGTTTCTCCAAAAATTGTGACACATCAACTTGATCTACTGCAGCAGCTTCGCCAGATATGCATTTGAAACTCACACTGTGTCTCTTGCGCCACTTTTGCAGCCATCCGTCGGACGCACTGAAATTATTATAGCCCAAAGTAGTGGCGATTTCTTTAGCTTTCATTTTCACTAACGGCCCTGAGATTGGAATGTTCTGACTTCTAGCTTTCACAAACCACTCAAAACATGTTTTGTCTATAGCAAAACCTTCCTTTTTTTAAAAATCCTTCTTTTGATTTATATTAGTTCCTGATTGCCATTTATTCCTGATATCTTCCTTATTTTTGGCAATTTCAGCTGCTTGCGTTTTCCCAATATTAAACCTCTTTGCCAAATGACGAACTGAAACACTTTCTCTGTCTAATACGTTAACAACTTCCATCTTTTCCTTTAACGAGAGCATCCTTTTTTTTGGTACCATTTTACAGTTACAATAATAAAATACGTAACTCAATCAACTACGAATTTGCCTGAACTGAAGACAAGCCACAAGATTACATACAACGAAATGCGTAAATGGGGAATCACCTAATATAAATCGGGGAATTACCGAATTTTATGTATGTAGATATGTGCATTGCAATAAGCGGAACTAAAAAATCATCCGGGTATTAGAGTTTCGCGTCCGCTTATGGGAGATTTTTTGATCACATACAGGAAAATCTAGTGTCCGCGTCCGTTTATAAGAGCGTCCGTTTATCGGAATGCATTTAACATTGAAAATTGATGGCTGAAATTCGGTTCCAGGAACTTTGTCCGGTTAAAAGAGATGTCCGCTTATAGGAGCTGTCCGCAAGGAGAGCTTTCACTGTATTGTGCGTGGACGTATTTTAGCTTGTCTCCGATTTTCGTCTATTCCAAAAAATGGATCAACGAATTTGTATTAAATTTTGTGTAAAAAAACAACTTGAAGTGCGCGGACATAATCCAAATGTTGACTGTTGCATACGGCTAAGCTACTTTGGACAAAAGCAACGTTTATCGATGGTACAAAAAGGTCTCAGAGTGCCCAGGTGATGAAACATTGATGAGTTCTTGCCGTAGGGTAGAACGGTCAATAAGGAATATTACCTTTAAGTAATGCGCAATTTGCGAGAAGCAATCCGCCAGAAACGCCCGGATTTGTCGAAGAACAAAAATGTTGCACCACGATAACGTCCCTGCTCATGCATCGTTACTTGTGCGCGAAGTTTTTGCCAAAAACAACACTCCACCCACCGTATTCCCCAGACCTGGCCCCCTGTGACTTTTTCTTGTTCACGAAACTGAAGAGGCCCATGAAAGGACGACGCTACGCCACGATTGAGGAGATAAAGACGGCATCGAAGGAGGAGCTGAAGATCACAAAAAATGATTTTGCAAAATGTTTCGAGGACTGAAAAAAACGTTATCACAAGTGTATAATGTCTGATCGGGATTACTTTGAAGGGGGACAAAATAGATATTCACGAATAAATGAATAATTCTTGAAAAAACATGATATTCGCGATACTTTTTGAACACACCTCGTATAGTAACAAAATCTATACAAAGAGTTTTTGAGTTTTTAGCAATTAAAGTTTCAAAATTGCATTTTTCGAATATTCTCGCTCACACTCGGTTGATTAAGGCAGTTTTCAGTATATTCAAAAATCTTCCAAATAGCGGTTGAAACTAGTTATAAGATGAAACGATGCTGAGAAATCCACTGACGAAGTTGTACTTTTTATTTTACTTCTTTAGTAAGCAATAAAAGCCACAAGTGACATTTACTTTTTGCTACTTAAGGTTGGTTAAACATTTTAGACAAATTAGTGCAATAGTTTTCGCAATTTTGTAATATTATTTATCGTAGACATATTTTCTTGCAACAACGGCGCCTTGTATAATAATGAAGCCACAATATTTTACAGTGCAGTACAGTGCAAAAGAGGAAAGTATGAAAAAAATAAATATACTAAGTGACATATAAATCCGAACACCCAGTTTAAATGGTTTTATTTTAATAAAAGTTGGTGAATGTATTTATCTTACTGTAAATAACAAGTGAAAAAATGTTCAGCCTTATCAGTTGGACATTCCGGTTATTATACTGCTTTTTTTTAATTCACTAACGCTCTAAAAATGAATATTTCAGCAGCAGTAAAGAATCAACGTTGGCGGATTTTGGTTCTTGACATCCTTTACGATCGGTTACGATGCCTAGAGTACGGAGACCTGTACGATATCGTCAACTTAGTGAGTTTGATAGGGGCCATATAGTGGGACTTCGGGAAGCTGGACTTTCTTTTCGGGCAATTGCAGTTAGACTGCAAAGAAGTGTAGACACTGTGGTTAGGTATTGTCAGGCATGGCTTCGAGAAGGCCGTACGCAAAG